GCTGATCTGTTTCATGTTGCTGCTGATCTGTTTCATGTTGCTGTGTTCATGCGTGCTCATCTGCTCACACAGACTCATGTTCGTGCTGCTGTTATGCCGTATTGTTTTAGATTATTAGTGTTTAGCATATTTCTTAGTTTATATCTTAGATCATTAGTTACTCTTTCTTTTTTCAATTTTTATTTTTGCTATTGTTTGATGTAACTGGGACCCTGTGTACACAATTTTGTTCCACCTAATGTAGCGCATGTGATGAGAATGACAATAAATCTACTTGAACTTGAAATAAAAGAAAATGGTTTGTAGAATAAAAACTAATTTAATATAAACATCAAAAATTGAAATCTATGATAAAAATAGTTTTCCACATAAATCTGGTGAAGGTTCTCAGTTCATCCATTATCTTTACCCACTTCTTCCATCGTGGGTCACTGGTGTCCATGTCCAGCAGTCACTGTGCAAGAGGTGGGGGACACCCTGGACAGGTCTCCAGTCCATCACAGGGACACATAGAGTCAAACAACCATTCTCTCTCTCTCTCTCTCACCTAGGGACAATTTAGAGTTACCAAACACGCATGTTTTTATTCTGTGGAAGAAAACCCACGCAGCACGGAGAGAACATGCAAACTCCACCCAGAAAGGTCTCCGGCCGGGATTTGAACAGGCAAACTTCTCGCTGAGAGGCAGCAGCCGTACCATCGGAACCACCGTGTTGCCCATGCTCAATCCAAAATAAGCTTTAAAAAATTAATAAAAAGGACTTCTGAAGTTTTTCAGCTTCAGAAGTCCTTTTTTTATCCAGCAAAGTCAGGTCAGGTCCTCTGGACAGTTTGTTTTTGTTGAAACGTTTCGTGCTTCATCCAAAAGTCTTCATCATTCCGAGGAGCTGCAACAAACTCAGTCTTATAAACAGCGCCTTCACATGGTCTCTGTCTCCTGTCTTTTTGTCCATGTCTCTGTCTCCTGTCTTTTTGTCCACGTCTCTGTCTCCTGTCTTTTTGTCCACGTCTCTGTCTCCTGTCTTTTTGTCCACGTCTCTGTCTCCAGACCATACAACATAGCTGGTTTCACCACTGTCTTGTAAACGTTTCCTTTGACCTTTGCTGACTAAAGAATCTAAAATAAGCTTTTAAATCTAAATTAGTTTATTAAAAAAATTCTAATCTTGAAGATAAATAAATCTGTAAAAAAAAAATTACGTTTGTTTCTGAAGTTTGAATTTTAGTTCTGAT